GAGAGACTTCCTCTCCCTGGGCTGGCAAGAGTGGGTGGAGGAAATGCACTTTCCAAGGTACTGTGCTTGAGGGCAAGATTATCTACAACTTGATTAATGATCAGAAAGAATTCGATGGAGGCTTAATCTGTTTGGGGATCTTGCAAATGGTTTGTAGGCTGTAACTGTAATCCACATACTTTTGCAAAATGGAGCATTCAGAATTTAAGTTCTAATACACTTGTGCTTTAAGAGATAAGGAAAAGAGGGGAAGGAAAAGGCAAGAAAGGAGGAAAGAACAAAGATAAAGAGGGAGATTTTTATATGTGCATGGAATATAAGGAGTACAAACACTAGTTGGGGGCTTAAATTGGGTGGCGGTATAGAGATCTGTTGCTATGGCTGTGTGAAATGAGTGGGTCTGTGGCCTTATGGGAAGAGAGAAAAGTCTGAACCAACAAAAACCTGTTTGGGGTGAGTGTTTATTACCTGTGTCAGCCTGGGAGGCTTGTTTATCTACATAGGGGTAGGGGAAAGAGGAACTGAGAATCAAAAGAGAATATAGATTAAAAGAATATTAAAACTAAAGAGTGCAATTGATGTATGGATTGTTATAAGAGCTGCAAGAGCCCCAAATAAAATTATTAATAATAATTTTTAAAAGCCTCAAAGAGTGAAAACAGAAAGTATAGTTTGGTGGGGATTCCTGCTTCTTTGGTGGGGGTAATATGGTCACATGTCTCCTGAGAAAAAGAAGGGGAAATGCTTTTTTATTGGGGGGTAAGGGATGCTGAGGAATGAGGAAGTAAAGGAGAAAAATGTTTAAGTGGTGAAAAGCATTACTTCGGTAGTGAGGATGTCCATTCCAAGTTGCCCAGGAGGTCTGCTATCTGTGCAGAGCCCCCAGGGGCCAACCAGATGAGGGATTTGCCTGGGTGAGTTGAAACGTGGCTGACAAGGACTGGCTCATGCTTTGGGGAGGAATGGCTCTGAAGTGGTACTGGGAACTGCTCAGTGGTGAAGGGGGTGGGGCAGAAACAATGGGCCTTCTTTCCTGATTTCCAATGTAAAGAGAAATAAGAGGATTGGTGTACTTAGCTTTTATGCTCTTTCCCTAAATTCCAGGGAGCTCAGGATTCTCTCCTGTTGGGACTTCTCCAATATTTGCTGAGGAGATCGTCCCACTTTTGTTACATGTCCCTGTTGGGTTGGGTTTTTCTGAAAATAAGATCCAATCCAAACTTTTGCTTAGAGGTTCCTGAAATCTTTGTATATTGGTGCTTCTCCCTCTCCAGAAGGCAGAAATGCTTTGTACCTTCAAGATATATGTTAACCTGTGTTTTCTGTTCTACAACGAATCTTGGTTTTGCTCCCAAGCAAACATGAGATCTTTATTTCTTTGACACACCTCAAAAGATTCCTGTAATTAATTGACCAGGCAAGAGCAGCCTTTTCTCAACCAACAGGTTAAATGTTACAGTGCCATTATGTGGTCTGGAACCATTTCTGACCTCCTTACATTCTTACTTCCAAGTAAGTACCCAGGGTTCCTTTCTAATACAGAGCCTGTTGTGAGTGTGTGTAAAACAGTATTAGAAACAATGTAACGTGCTACCCTTTAAGTCCTTCTTTTTGGTGATTAGTTTTTGTGCTATTTAATAATGCCTGCTTTGGGAAACACAAGCAGACAACACAATTGTTGGCCAAAAGGTCAGTGGTGTAAAGCCACCACTGTGGAAGAAATCCTGGAGATCTGCTCCCATGGATTACAGCCTGGAAAACCCCACGGGGAGGTTCGGACTGTCAGTTTTTTCTTTCAATTTTGTTGAATAGGTTTACCATGTGATGGAAGCAACTTGACTGTACAAACCAAAAACAAAAAAAGGGCTCATAATAACAATTAAAAACACAGATGACGAATTAACACCTCTTTTAACATGAAGCACTCTGACCTATGCCAGAAGTCTCCTTTGGGTGCACACTGACAATGCTAAGATAAAGATAAGAGAGAGATAAAGATGGAAGAAAAGACAATGATTGTGATAACCATAAGATTAGCAAAAGAAGAAGAAGGGGAGAGGAATTGGCATACTACTCAAAATGTTATCAACTTCTCTTGGACATCAAGTATATGGTATCTATTTCTGTTAATATTACTTATAAAATATCACAGTGTAAGAAGACATTTCTTAGAAAAGTTTTGGTGACCAACTTTTATCTTGTATGGAAATTATATAAGCTTTTTAGAGAAAAAATTTCACACAGATTTGTGCTTGGGGAATATTATGCTAAACTCTTTAAAAGTTTATACAAACCTTGAGCCTTTGCATTCACTCTAACTGATAACTGGAGGTAGAAGTCTGTCTTTGGGTTGAAATGACAACCTAATGCACCCTGCAGAGGTGAGTCAAATACAAAGCAAGAAACACAGAACTCTGCTACCTTGAAATTTTAGCTTCAACTGGACGAAAGTGAGTTTGATGTTTGAGTTGCATTCCCAATATTATTTGAAGCCAATGTTTTCTAGGTTCTGAGTAAGGAAGTTCATGAGGTCTTAAACTATGAAAAGCAGTGTTATTGACATTAGAGGGAAATCATTATCATAAACAGATAAGACACTAGTTGTTTCTTTCATTTCATTTTATCCTGACTAAGGTGTTCTCTTCTATGAGTTTGGTGGTGAAAGGGTTAAGCACTTGGATACTAACGCAAAGATTGGCAGGTGGAACCGAAGAATGGTCATCTGCTTCTGTGAAGATTGTAGCCAAGCAAACCCTATGGGGAGTTGCACTCTGCCACATGGATTTGCTGTGAGCTGAAATGGACTCGGTAGCACCTAACCACACTACAGTGTGATCTTTAGGGCCATTTCTTTTTTAAGGGATGAACATGAGTATAGAACTTGCTCAGGAAACGGAACGTGTTTCTGGTTGAAAACCCTTGGCCACAGAGTCCATTCTGACTCATATTGACCTTATAAGTAGAAGTGCCCCTTGTGGTTAGCTGTCCAACCCAGCCACTATGTCACTGAGGTTCTATTCCTTGCTAGAACAGTAAAATTCTTATTGTACTTTCACACAGATCTCTATGACTACTAATGTAATTAAAAAGAAAGGTTCTAGTTTTCTCATCAAGTGACAACATGTAAATCTGTTGACTCTTCGTAAATGATTTTAATCATTACGAATGCTAAATGATACATCATTTAATACTTTATCCTAGACTCGGGACATTTTAACAGCACCACAAAATAGGCTATAATTTTCCATTTTATAACAACCAAAAGGACAACATAATCTGTCTTGGAAAAGACTATCAAAAGGTCTAACTTCATGCTTTCATTATTAAGCTAAGCCAGAACCAACTTTTTTCAGTGGAAATATGAAGTAGTAAAATTCTAATATTAACTGTACACATGAAAGTCTAATATGGCATAATCTAATGGAGCACTGTTTCAAAGGGCATTTATCTTGTCCCTTCGTAGGAGCATTGGGTGAATTCAAGAAATGTTTGGCTTATTTTTGGCAGAATTCTATCGTGAAATTTGTTCCTAGGTACAGGAATTTCCTGTTGCTCATATGGAAGAAACAGTTGTGTCCCCAGTGCACACCCATCCTCAGAGCTGAGGTAGACCTTTGCATAGGTCAATATTCTCAGGTCACAGAGTGAACAGTGAGGAAGTGAGGCCTGAGAAAAAGGCATCAGTGCCCTGATGGTCGGCACTCTAGAACACAACCCGGGGCTATTTTTAAGAAAGCATTTCCACAGAGCTGCTTCAGTACTGAATCTAAACTTGCTGTCAGAGCTGATGAAGGGGAAACTAACAGTGTGGTATCTAACTTGCAGTTCATGCAAGAATTGTGAAGAATTATACACAAATTTCAGAGGCAGAAAAAAAAAAAGCAATGATGGTTTTCCCTTCCCAGTCCCTCTTAAAAGCAAAACAAACAACAACTAAAAAGAAAAAGGAAAGGAAATGCTTTCTAGGAGACATCGTTTATAATATTTTCTGATTATGAATGCATATTTGCAAAGGATTCATCCATTTTGAGATGTGCTCTATTAGTAAATGAAGGTCTCAAAGCTTCGTCCACTCATGTCATGATGGTAAACTCTGTTTTGAGGAGGCAGCTCTTCCTCAGTCGTATTTTCAGTGCCTTCCAAATGGAGGGTTCCATCTTCTGGCACTGTATCTGCCAATGCTTTCCTGCTGTTCATAAGGTTTTGGTGGCTCATCCCTCATGGGTGGACAGCCTGTTCTTGTTCTTTGTCTGGAAGGTTTGCTGAAACCTGTTCACTTTGGGTGACTGTGCTGGTATTTGGAGTACGGTGACATAGCTTCTAGCACTACAGCAACATACACATCACCTCAGTACAACAAATTGACAGACAAGTGGTGGTTAAGATTCATAAGAGCATTAGAAAGTGGTCTTTCAAGAAGCAACAAGCAAGAATAAGAGGTCATACTAGGGATTTATTTTAATTTCACAGGCTTGACTAAGAGCTGGGTACAGGGTTTTGTTCACCTAGGAAGCAAAAGTAAAAATACTTGCATTTTCGTTTTTGCAGGTACAATGGCAATTTGAGAAGAAAAAATTGTTAGTCATTATGGAATTTTTAGGGAGAAATAATATTATTGATTCAAACATAGTTGTAGGCCCTGATTTTCCAAAATCCAATACCTTGCACTTAAAATGGAAAAGTAGATAAAGTGAGGTATCTTTTATATAGAAATTCAGTGTACTAATAACTTCTCTATTTATATTTTCAGTTACAGATGAAGCAACTTGCAAAATATTCCCAAGATATGGAACAAGAAGACATGTTTAAAAGTAGTATTTTTGCCTCCAAATCCATCAGTGTGACTTCATCGTGTTCCACGTTTCTATCCTGCACCGAATATTGGCAAACCAAGGCTGCGGGAACAAGAGTGCTTCCCGTGATCACTTATTAAAATGGGAGTGTTGGGGATCACACTCGTCTCCTCTGGGAAGGTGGGGTGCGGGGGAGCATTCCAGGCAGTGCTTGTGTTCCTTCTGCTCCCATACTGCCTGACTCTCCAATGTGCAGCACCAAATATATTCTCCAATGATCCTTTTCTCTGGGCCTGGAATTCTCCCATAGAATTTTGCATTGATAGATATAATGTGCCCCTAGATATGAAACTCTTTTCCCTAATAGGAAGCCCAAGAATACAGAAAACTGGGCAAAGGCTTGTAATATTTTATGCTACTAAGCTTGGCCTCTACCCTTTCATAAATGAAAAAACAGGCGTGTCTGAGAATGGCGGCATCCCCCAGTTGGGAAATTTAAAAGATCATTTGACCAAAGCCATGAAAGACATTGTCTCTACTGTGCGAGCACACCAGACAGGCTTGGCTGTCATTGACTGGGAGGATTGGAGGCCCCTCTGGGATAGGAACTGGAAGCCAAAAAACAGCTACAGGGATTTATCTACTGAGCTGGTACATCAACAAAATGCACATCTCAGTATCTCTGAGGCCACCAAGGTGGCCAAACAAGATTTTGAAAGGGCAGGAAGGACTTTTTTTCTTGAGACTTTTAATTTGGCAAAACGACTTCGTCCACAATATCTATGGGGTTATTATCTTTTCCCTGAGTGTTATAACCATGTTTACACGAGACCTGGTTATGACGGAAGTTGCTTTGAGATAGAAAAGAAGAGAAACGACCAGCTCTTCTGGTTGTGGAAGGAAAGCACCGCCCTTTTCCCAAATATCTATTTGCACTCTCGCCTCAGTTCTACACCCCTCGCTGCACTCTTTGTCCGGAACCGTGTTCAGGAAGCTCTTAGGCTTGCTGCTTTAAGAGACCCCAAAAACCCTGTTCCAATTTATTTTTATGCCCGCCCAGTTTTTACTGATGTGCCTTTCAAATACCATTCTCAGGTAAGCCAATCAAGGATGTGTATGTAGGTATGGGTGTGGTATACAATAGTGTCCACAAGTAATGGTGAATGGAATCTAGCCTGATTTTTGAAAGGAGAAAAAATTAAGCTTTTTGTATTTAGTTTGTTTTTTTGAGCTCTGTATTTTTTATGTTATCAGAAAAGCTTAGCAACTGTGGCAAAGTAGGGAGCAGAGGTAATATATTAACTTAACCTTTCTCACCACCACCACCACCACCACCACCACCCCTCCCCCCCCCCCCACCACTTTCATCCATAGTCCTTAAGACCGCAATATAGAGTGTGTTTTTGTTATCATGGAACATTCGCTGTGTTAGGAGCAGCAGTAAACTAGGGGAATCATTGAATTAGGATTCTCGGATCAACACACTTGCTTCATGTTACTGAACTTCCATTTGGGATAAAAAATGCTTGCTTTGGTGTTTCTGCATTTGATACCATTTTATTGTTATCTGTTAACTGTTTGTATTTCTTTTGCCAGTATGATCTTGTGAACACACTTGGTGAAAGTGTTGCTTTGGGTGTCTCCGGTATCATTTTCTGGGCAAGTGTCAATTTAAGTCGAAACGCGGTAAGTTGGATTGATGGGAAAAAGATAAAAAACACATAAACGCTTAAGACCCTTGAGCATTGCTGCAGGTGGTTTAGTGGTTATTGGGTCAACGGGTATGCGTAAGTGCAGTCACAGGTGTCTTGGAAGAAAGACTTAGCAAGCTTCTTCCAACAAATCCGGCTCTTAGAAACTTTAGGGAGCATCGCTCAATTCTGACACACAGGGGATCTCCATAATTTAGAATAGGCTTCATAGGCTTCCTGTTTTCTGTTTTTCTAAATCTCATTTTTTTTATGGTATTGCGTAAGTACCATGTTGGCATACAGTAGGAGATGCTCAATTAATATCAATTGAGTGAAAAAAACTTGCATTGCTGTGGTAATGTGTTAAGGCAGAGAAGATTGTCCTAGCCTTCCTGAGACAGAACAGCAATATAGTGAGATTAATTGAAATCCTCTGCTCAGGAAGAAGAAAAATACAAAACTACAATCTTTACCTTTTGGCGTAATATTGGTTGGTTTTTATGCTCAAAATAACTCTCCAAGTCAATGGGTATTCACTTATTTTCTCATCACTCCATGACTATTTATTGAACCTCGGTCTCAGATAATCATTCTTTTGGTCATTCACTGACTGTTCACTGCTGGACCTCATCTGCCAACCGCCTGATGTGCACAGTTGTGTGCGAAGAATGACTTTTGTATTTTAAAATGGGTTAAAACGAATAGATTGGTATTTCATCATTGAAAATTGTGCCAAAGTTAGATTTCATTTTCTATCAATCAAATTTCCTTGGACCATATCCATGCTCCTTTATGTAGGGAATATGAGGGCAAGTCAAAAAGTATCAGTACGGTTGCATTAAAAGACAACATTGAGAAATTAGACCAAAGACTACATGGGAATCAAGGCCTAAACTATTCACTATCTGGTCCTTTCATGAAAGGTTTGCTCCTTTCTGGCTTACTAGGTTAGCAAAAAAGTATTGGGTTCTAGTTCATATATACATAGATTTATTCAAAATAAAATTTAAATATTTTTCTGCAATCAGTGGATGATCATGTACAAGTTCTCTTGATAATACACTGGTGTTATTCTCAATGGCATGGCTTACAAAAAAATGTCCAATCAAAACTGGTTACAAAGGAAATAGGCTGCTAGACCAAGTAATTCAATGCATAGGCTTAAGCTCAGAAAGTAGGCCAAGTGTTTTCTGAGACGCCAGAGGGTGTAATATTGGTAGATTTTGTCAAAGGAAATAGGGTAAAAATTAGGGCTTATTTTGAATATGTTTGAAGAAAATCAAAAGATGCATTGGTGATAAAAAGGAAAGGCAAGTTGTACTGAGGAATTCCCCCTCCTCCAGGTGACAATGCACTTGCAAGGGCTACCCAGGGAGATGCTACACATATTTGTTGAGAAATCTTACCCCTTCCACTCCAGAGTCCTGACCTTGCCCCTTCCGCCTTCTTTTATTTCCCCATCTGAAAGAATATCCCAAAGGAACATGACAATTTGACCCCTTTTTGAATGCAAAAACAGTCCATTTAATGTAGTCCATAATTCAAAGAGTGCCCCATTCTTTGGGGGGAAGATTTAGATAGATGCAAATACTGCCTCCAGAAGTGTATAAACCTATGTGGAGGATATGTCAAGAAACAACAGATTTCCATTTTGAGTTTAAAAAAATAATAAAGGTTTCCATGATATTGTAGCATTTTTTTCTTTCCTTGATGTCTTTTCAATGGTTTTATTGGCATGTAATTCACATATCATATACTTCAATAATTCAGTGATAGTCAAGAGTGTTGCATAACCTGCACTACAATATGTTCTAGGGTGTTTTTTCTTTATTGTATTGTTATTGGCTCCCCATTTCCCTCGAACCTCCCCATCCACACCCACTCTCACTCCCATCAACTCGAAGTTAACTCATAGTGACTCCTTTTTTGGGTTTCTGACATGATAACTGTTTATGGGAGTAGAAAGCCCAGTTTTCTCCCACAGAGCTCCTGGTGGTTTTGAACTGCCAATCATTAGGGTAGAAGCCTATTGCATAATTACTACACCACCAGAGCTACAGCAACACCCCATCCCTTGCCACAGTGAATCTTTAATTCAGTATTGTTTCTATTGAGTTACCTATCTTGGATTTCATATACTGGCAGCCAACATGTATTGATGAGAAAAACAAAGTTCTTTTGCTGTGAACGGCCATTCTCATAATTGGAATATATGGATGTAATATGCCAGGAGTAATGAGTACGTTGAGGATCAACGAAGCAATGTAGACTGGATGGTGAATGGTAGGATGGAGCTGTTCTGATGTGATAGGTCATAGACCGTCTCTCTCTTTAGCAAATATCTTAAGGAAATATGGGAACAAGTCTCTTGGGTACATGGGGGGACTGTGAACACAATGCCCTTCCTGGCCACTGCAATATTGCAGGGCATTTTCAAGAAAGAGTGAGAAGATCCTTGTGACTGGGATGCCGCTCAGGAGCGGGCAGTAAGGAGAATGGGCAGTGAGGGCAGAGGATCAACTACAGACCTTCATAGGCCACAATGTGGCATTTTCTCATGAGAAGCTACTAACTAGTGGTTTGGGCCTAAGAGTGGCTGTACTTCATAATGATTTTAGGATCACTTAGATGAGTAGAGAATAGATTGCAAAAGGGCAAGAATGGGAACAGAGAGAAACCAACAGTGATATCTTGGAGCACAGGGTTATTGGTGAAAATACAGAAGAGGGTTTGGATTTTGAATATTATCTGGCAATAGAGCTGGGGGATTTATTATGGGATGGGATTGGAGGAGTGGCTCAGATGACTCCTGGTCTTTACATTTAAAGATACTACCATTAGGATAGGAGAGACGAGGAAAAATCATTTTGATGGGCATTGTGGGGAGTGGGAAATCAGGATTTAGGTGTTAAAAATTGTTCGAAATAAATGCTACGTTGTTCAAAGATTTCCTACGGGAAAGGAACACAACCACGACTTTTCTTCCCTTCATATTGTAGTATCTCTTCTAAATAAAACTATAAATAAACTCTATTAGAAAACAATGCTCATTTCATTCCGTGTAATATGAACTCTATCAGGAGGGAGGGAAAAAAGAGCAGCTGACAGCAAGGGCTCAAGTGGAAGGAGTTTTAGAGGTGATGATGACAACATGTGTACAGATGTGCTTGATACAATTGATGTGTGGATTGTATGAGAGCTGTTAGAGCCCAGAAGAAAATGATTTTAAATAAAAATTAAATTAAGTAAAAAACTTAGACTAATATTAAAATATATATATTTATTTGAACTGTATTCATTCTCCCCAATAAAATGATTTTTAAATAAAAAATAAATTAAAATTAAGAATAACATTAAAAATATGTATTTATTTGAACTGTATCCATTCTCTCCTGATACATGTAATTAGCATGAGAGGCCTTTCATGATTATGACCCAACACTTTCCTTTCCTCCTTTATTTTGACCTTATATAATTCGCATCATCAGATTTTCTCCACTCTTAGCTTCTCTTCTTCTACACAATGCAAGAGTAAATCTGTGACATGGACAGCACTGAATTGGAGTTGAACTTTTCTTCCTCCAGTGGGTGTGGAAACAGTAGTGACTCCTGGGCTAGTGAAGATGTTTAGTGATGCTCCTTGTCCAGGGTTCTATCATGGGATTTATAGAGAATAGAATTTCTACTCAAAGTCCAAGTCCAGAAGACACCTTGATGAGCCTCTTATCCTTCAGATAGAATAGCCTATATTCTTTCTTCATTTGAAATTAAAAACCATCCCAATTTAAAGCATTTAAAGGACAGAGTGAGTAGCCCTGCTGGTGTAGTGTTTAGGTGTCTGGCTTTTTACATCAAGGTCAGCATGTCAAAACCACCAGCCACACCATGCGAGAAGAACTCCTGTAAAGAGTTATAGTCTGACAAAACAAAACATAGCCCCCAACTGGAAAGCTAATTATTAGGCAAACTATTTTACATGCACACTCTTTAATGATTTGGCTTCACCAGTAGCAATTTCATTGAATATAAGTTAAAAAATATAAGAGAAAAATAGAAAAATGACAAAATATATGTGCTTTTAAAATTAAATTGAATTAATTTTAATTTTAAAAATAAAGTTAGCCTTTTTTCTGTATATGAAATCCAAGATAGTAAATCTATAGAGATCGCAATGAGTTAATGGTTTCTGGTGGGTAAGGCAGGGGAGGTTGTGGAGAAATGGGGAGCTGATAACAATGAGCACACACAAAAAGAAAATGCTCTGAAATTGATTATGGTAATGACTGGGTAACTTCTTCATATGATTGAACTATTAAATTGTGTGATATTTGGATTATGCGCCAATGAAACAAAGCACAGCTACAGTTTTGGAAACTCACAGGGACAGTTCTTCCCTGTCCTCCAGGGCCCTTCTGGACCAACACTGATCTTATGGCAGTGAGTTTTTCAGTTTATGGGATGGAGTGAAACTTCCCTATTAGGTTTCCCAGGCTGTCTATCTTTATGGTAACAGACTCTCAGCACTGACATTTGGTTAACACGACGGTGCTAAATCAGTGCAAACCCCAGGGCTCCAGCCATTCAAAGAACTTCACAGAAATTACCTTTGTGAAATCTTTGAAGGTGATCTGAACACGCCATGCCTATCTGGTACTATACTATGGTTTGGTTTGATCACCAATAATGAGAAATGACCGGAAATATAACTACAGAGCAAAGAAATGTTTTCTATCAGACATTATTTAACAACAACTAGCTTCTCCTATACCCATAAATTTGTTTGTTTTCTAAAATCCATAAACTTCTTTCTCGGGGTCCTATTAGCCCGATGAGGGAAGTAAATATATATTTTCCATATCACTTTTCTATTTTTTAATTTGAGAACTCCACCTTTATGCTTGTGTAGATTGCGTTAGGGATTCCTCCAATGGCTGGGATGATGGAGAGTATTATATGGATCCAGTTTCTTTTTTTAAGGCACTGTAGTCTGAGAGTCACATCACAGGGACTTGCAGGTCATCTTTAGCAGCTATCCAGAGGCAGTCTTCCAATGTTTATTTTTATTTTCCACTTGGAGTTGTTCCTTTTGGGACTCTATTCAATAAACGTCTGAGCTTATAGTCATTCTAAATGCTAGTCATATCATAATTTCTGCCTTTTTTCTATGTTACTTGTAATCAATAGAGTCACGGATCATTTGTCATGTTTCTGTGTTTTGCTGACAATTTGAAAACAGGTATTGCAGGTTTACTGGCAAGGACTGCAATTAACCTAAAACAATTGTTTATAAAAGTAAGCAAACTATTTCCTCCGTTCCACTCTATCCAGAAATGTGCTAGTGTCAGCTGCAACTGGTTCCACCATGAAATAACTAATTGTTAAGTTCTCAGGACTTGTTGAACTAATTGTTAAACATAGCCACTATAAAACATTAAATTATAAAATCTTTATAATTTAAATTCAAAACAATGGTAATGCATACTGAAACTATCGCTTAATTATTTTGTTCAGATTTATTATTATTATGTATGCTCCTATGGCTATTTACTGCTGATGAATCTGCAGAGTGAAAATACTGTATCATGGTGTGTGTTACTCCACACCATAGTATCATCTCATGTAATGGTAGTGCACTCATTTTCCAATTACTCTTACACTGATGTCAGGTGGGCACTGACCATAGTAGTAACACTTGCAAGATGGACACCAGGACAAGCTGTAAGCAGGCCTTATCTTGTGTAGAGTCAGTTGTTAGTTCTTTCCATAGACCACGTCTTATACAGGCTAATGAGTCTCCAACGATTCTCATGTTTTTACTCCTCTTACTGCCATAGAGCTGAGGAGGGCAGCTGCAATCTGCTGTCATTCTCATATATTCATGCTACTGTTGAAAAATATTGATGCAGTTTGTGTTTTCATGGAAGGATACAGACAAGACACCCAAGGAAAAAATACTTGGCATAATAACTGCTAATGTAGAGAATTAAAATAGAGAGACATGAGCGTGAGCGTATATGAAGACACAGGAGCGTGAATAGGAAAAGTATCTGTTTATTGTCTAATTAAAGATGAGATTTGAATGATAAACTGGAGAAGAGGGCTGCTCAAGGTCAGAAGAGAGCATCCCAACTCGTGGGAACAGTCGTGTAAGGGCCCTACCGTGGGACATGAATGGGCTGCAGTCTGGAGGCAATCACTGTGTCTGAGGTAGAGGAGGCAAGGAGAGCTGTGCCAATAAAAGGGAGCTTGACACCATATTTGGCTGTGTACCAGGCAAAGCAAGAGTTTTATTTCAGACACCATTCAAAGTAATTGGAGGTCTATGAAGGGGAGTAGTGTAGTTTCTATTGCTGCCATACAAATGACAAGAAACAGTCAATTAAATAAGCCAAATGTGTTGCCTCACAGTTCAGCAGGTCAGAAGTCCAACATTGCTCTCATCAGGTTCCTATCATGGTGTTGGCAAAGTTTCATTCCGCCCTTACTTGTTTATACGGTTGACAGAATTCATTTCCTTGTGGCTGTGACAACTCATTCTGCATTTCCTCATTGACTCTCAGCCGAGAGGCAACCAGCATTTCTTTTCCTTTCCAGGGGAGTCATCCCAACTTTTAGAGGCCACTGACATCCTTCTTCTGTCTTTAAAGCTGGCCGTGGCAAGTTGAGTCCCTCTCAGTATTTGAATCTCTCCTTTCTTCTATTTCCTCTTTCTAACCCAGCTGAGAAACATTCTACTTTTGCAAAACTCAAGTGATTGGAACAACTCACCTAGGGAATTCAGGGTCATCTTTCTCATATCATGTCTTTAAATTCTCCTTTGCTGAGTAAGGTTAAGGGTGAAGGCATTAGGGTGAAGGCATCTTTGGGTAACATTATTTTGTTTAGCACAGTTGGCCTTATCTCAAGGAAGGTAATGAGAATCAAGTTCAAGTTGGAACTGTCAAGATTTCTTGACATTTGCAGCCTATCACTACCACTTCCTCTGGTCTGCTGAAGGATTAGCACCAGTCAATAAGACTGTTGATCATGAAAGAAAGTGAATACCATTAATGTTTTCAGAGGCTGGTGCACCTAGGTTTTAAGATGCTCCAGCCTCAAGTTGCATCATTTCAATCACTCACCACTCATAGCAGATTATGAGTGCACTTAAGATAAGTGCACTTGTGATTGGGCAGTCAAAATTCTCCCATGATTTGAAATATAATATAAAGTGTACCCAGTTGAATTGTTTAGTTGTTTGGAGTTAGTCATTTAGAAATCATTGATTCTGATGCAGTGTAAACTTGCCTAACAAATGTGATGCTTCTTACATTTATTTATTATTTATTGATGGCTAATTGATGATATTCTTAGGTGTCAAGCAAATTTTTATAAATAAAATTCCTCCCCACCCCATCCATACAACAACCCAGTGAGGCAGGTGCTACAATGAACATTATTTCACAGATGAAGCTGAATCCTAGCAAGGTTAATTTCCCCAAGGTCACCTAAGAGGAAACTAAGAATTAGACATACTCAGAGATCCTCGCACTTACACAGCTTCCAATCCCCAGCGCTGAAACTCCGCTCAGGACAATGGGCCTCAGAGCTCGTGCCCTAGTCATTGTACCCCTCATTCAGCGCCTCCTGATGATGATTGATTGAGGAAGGCCTAGCTCCCAGTATCAGAAGCCTCCATCTGTGGGCTGCTCATTCAAAGTCGTGGAATGGCAGATGACCCTTTCTTACAAATGTTGCAAACAAATAAACCAGTTGGATTAAATTTACTTGACAAAGGTGAAAAGATTAAAATACCTTCAACTTCTTACTCCATCTTAGTTTTGATTTCTTAAAAGTTGCTTATTGCGATGAATGAATTAATGTATGAACTGACTTGTCCCTTGATTTTCTGACCCTGCCATTTCACAGCAAGCCTGCACCATCCTAGCAAATTACCTGACGACTACCCTGAATCCTTACATTATCAACCTCACGTTAGCAGCCAAAATGTGCAGCCAAGTGCTTTGCCTAGGAGTTGGAGTATGTAGAAGGAAAGACTGGAATTCAAGTGACTATCTTCACCTGAACCCAGATAACTTTGTCATTGAAACCAGGAACAATGGAAAGTTGACAGTGGATGGGAAACCCACCATCGAAGACCTGAAGTATTTTTCTGAAAAATTTAATTGCAGTTGCTACACCAATTATGTTTGTAAATTAACAGATGATATAGAAAATATTGATATAGACAGTATTAAGGTTTGCATTGCTAATAATATTTGTATAGGTAACTTGGTGGATAAAAAATCCAACTATTACTCTTTTAGAAAGAAAGAGAAACCATTGGCTGCCCAGTGGTCATGTGTTCCTGACCCAAATCTCAGTGGGTGTCTCAAGGGCAATTGTTCCGGGACAACAACCGTCTCAACCAATGACCAAGAAGACAATCAGGATACTTATGAGGGAAACGTGTCCAATACAGAAAAGAAGGAAAAAGAAACAACCAATCCAAGTAAAAGTTTGATGCTAGTTCCATTTGCTATCCATATACTTTTAGTTTTGATGTCTTTAAATTTCTTATATTCAAGCATTTAGTTAACTCAGATTCTTTTGGGCAACTGTTAAATGCCTATAAGTTGAAATGTATATTTGTGATGTAAAAAGAATACTTGTCATAGGATTTTTACTCAAAGCTGAGTCAAGAAAGCATTTTGACTTTGAGAAAAGATTATTTGCCCATGATCAATTTAAACTTGGGATTATTTACAGCTAAAGAACCTTGACTGGAATCTGTGATTTTCAAAATTGTAGTACAGAATTAATTCCCTTATTAAGGCATTTTGCTTTTGAAAATTCAAGTAAAGCCTTGATTATTAATGTAACATGGCATTTGTTTTGTGAGATGATCATCAGTTTTATATTTTCTAATGGCCATGAGTTTATAGCAAATATTTTAAATGCTGTGAATGTATACATAGACCTAAGAGCCATCGACTATATTTTTGGATTTCTAAACAGTGATAAGAAGACTTCAACATTTGGAGACTTTTATTTTTTTGAGAAATGTGAAGATTTGAGTAAATCAATTTACAGTAAACAAATGCCTTTATAATAAATATAATAGAAACGTTCATGTATTAAAGTGGAAAATCCTGTTCTTTTAACAATTAAAATCCTGAAGTGCCTTACTCTACCTGAAGTGTGTTTTTGTTGTTAGGTGCCGTCTAGTGAGTTCTAACTCATAGTAACTTTATGCACAACAGAAGGGAATACTGTCTGGTCCTGAGCCAGCCTCACAATTAGGGATTTCAGGGAAGGAATGAAAGATTGGAACCATTATAAGGCTTAATATTGCCCCTTAATATTGGCATGATCAGTGTCAAATTCAACAGTTGCTCATTTTACCCCTGTCCCTGCTGCTTGTGACATAGACAAGACACCATTTGCAGGTAAGTGGATGGGCAGCTAATAACTGGTTATGGTTCCTCAAATTCCTTCCCCACAGTGGATTGCCATGTATGTGGGGAAAACCTTTTAAAATTTTACAGAAAGGAACATTCCTGAATCAGTGAGTGTCACCCCACTGATGAGAATGGAAAAGTCATTGTTCCTTGATCAAGCATTATCAGCCATAGGACTCGTTTTCCAAGAGGGTGTTGTCCTCCTGCAGGTCCCGGGACCTCTGCACTACCGGAGGATGGGTGCCCCTGGTTGGGTTCTGGACACTACCCAGGGTCAGGTTAGAGTATCCCCAACCTTCAAAGTGAGGTTTCCCCACTGCTTGCAAAATCTAAGGGACTTGACTGAAACCTAAAGAAAGGGACAAGCAGGAACTCCTGGTTGGTCTTTCCTAAACAAATACTTTAGGTCTTGTGTCAAAGAAAAGGAATAGGGTGAGTTCTTGATGCCACAACAATGGGTGCCAGGTCCTTCTCTCCTTCTTCTGGGGGAGCCCTTATCCTTCAGGTATTACGGACCCAAGAGTTGACTCTAGATATTAAATGGTCAGGTCCACTTGGGTGGAAGTTAATCTCTGAGATGCTGTTCCCGCAGGACTTTGACAAGACTCGATTTCAAGGGTTAGAACTGTGAGGAGGGGTCTCTATAGTTAATAACAGACTGTAATCTTAATAAGAGAAATAACTTTTCCATGGGACTGCAAATTCCCTGATGTTCTAATACATTTCTTGACAGCTTTGTTAGAGTTGTTTTTGGAGTGTAGTTAATCTTCCTCATCTTTCCAGTAGATTGTACTGGAAAGAGGAGTGAAATTTCCATGTGAGTTCTAGGAGTTGACCGGTGTCCTGTGTAACTTTTGAAACAAACACACTCCTAATGTCATGCTGGGGAGCTAAAGGCAGCCTCATCTCAGGAATGGTCGCCTTTAAGAAGCCCCTTCAACGCTTCTTTGGCTTTTCAGTTCTACAGGGGTAGGCCTCTACTCATCTTGTGAAGGTGTCCACAAATACTGAAAGGTAGCCTTGTCACATAGGGCTCAATGTGTTTTCTAAGCCAGGCCGCATGACAGTCGTTCAATCGTAGAAAGCTGAGATTTTTCTCTTTAGCTGTTTAGGGGCTAGTTTTCTAGTTTTTCTGCAGGTTTTGTACAGGATACAAATTTATCCTCCTTGGGTTCATTAGAAGTCAGCCTTGGTATTCTGGTATTGTTCAGTCTTCACTCAACACCCTTTTCTAGGTCTTGAGTGTCTTCAGGTTCAAAAGCATCTAATTCTAAATTATGGACCAGAGTCAAGGCTTGTAGACCTAGAAGCTCTTGCAGCTCTCTTTGCTACCAAATCGACTTGGTGGTTCCCCAGGGCCTATGGTCTTGGCTTTCAATACCCTGGGTCCTTGGACTATGTAGACCAGTGGTTCTTAACCCATGGGTCGAGAGCCCTTTCAGGGTCAAATGACCCTTTCACAGGTATCGCCTGACTCATAACAGTAGCAAAATTACAGTTATGAAGTAGCAACCAAAATAATTTTATGGTGGTGGCGGGTGTGTGTGTGTGTGTGTGTGTGTTACCAAACATGAATGTATTAAAGGGTTGTGGCATTAGGAAGGTTGAGAACCACCGGTGTAGGTCCTTGGACTGCCTCTAGTGGTTTGCAAGATTACTGGAGCTTGCTTGATTCCCTTTTAGTGTTGTTGGTCACCTTTGTTTCTAAACAGCTTTGTGTGCATGTAGTACAGAGACTGCATGCTCACCTTTTCTTAGAAGTGAGCTCTTGTGATGGATATGGGCTTAGACTATTAGACTAAGAAGTCTCAGTGGAGCAAGGCATCAGCCTCCAATATCTCAGGATTACCAATGGATAGGCTGCTTCTTGACATCTTTGGTCCATGAAGCCACTTCCATCAGTAAATATCACTGTATCAGGGTCTTTAGGGTCTGTTAAGTCTAGCCTGTTGGAATACACTTGCTTCATTATCTGGTCATGACTATGGGATTATGGATGGTTACCTTCAGTTTTGGGGAGGAGTGTGGTTGGGTTAAGGGAAACTATTGCTAGCAGATTAACATTTCTGCTTTAAGAGGATGACCTGTTGTTTTTCTATTTTCGTGACAGTTAGCCACTACACATATTTTAGCCCAAGGAAGGGTAGCACGTTATGCAGAGTATGTACAGTTGTTGCATGTAAACAGGGCAGCCCTTGAATGATTTGGAGAAGTAAATGATGGATCTTCTGGATACACCCAGTCCCTGTTTCTCCTGTGTGAGTCAACTCAAAAGGTTTATGGATGTCTGGCAAACCTAAGGCAGAGGCACTTAGTAGCTCATTTCCAAGGATATCAAAAGTGGGGGCTGATTCCTCTGTCCTAGGCTTTGTAAAGAGGTCTGATAATCAGCCCCAAAGTAGGGATTTAAACTGTGCAGAACTTAGGCATTTTGACAATGTCTCTAAATTGTCTTCAAGGCTTACGAGGGCCTACCTGCACCACAGTGTTTCTCCTATCATGAAGCAAATTTTACCTCGTACTCTCTTTTTGCCAGATGATTTAAAACTTTGACAACATTCTTCAGCCTCCTTCTTGGATTAGTTTTTCCAATTATACAAATCAGAGGTAGAAAAGTGTATTCACAAACATAGTCCCTCTGGGTTAATTTTCATTGAATCTCATGGAGACCTCCTCTAATGGAAACTGCTCTCTCCAATCAAAGTCTGCCTCTGGGCTGAGGTGAGCAAACACCATGATGGGGTATAGTGGTGGAGGGGTAGGGGGCACTGGAGACCTTACTGCCTGAGATGGTGGTGTCAGATTTGTGGATCCCTGTTTCTGGAGATGCAGCAGTCAGGGTAGGTGCAATCTTTACTGAGGCTGGTGTCCAGGCCTGTGCTGGTGAGGGACCAACCAGGGACCCAACATAGGTGGGTGGAGTTGAGGCTCTTTTTGTTGTATAAGGAAAGTGTAGACATCTGTCTTTATACAAATCAGGTAAAATTGGCTGTTTTTCATTTTGTTTTATTTTTTGCAACATAAGGTTACATTTTTCTAAAGTGCCCTGGTCTCTGATATAGTGACATGAGAACTTGAACAAAAAGAGAAATCCATCCCACTATATAACAGAACAAGTCTAGTTGTAAAATGGAGGGATAACAAGGTGTTATCAATAGATTGTATTTCTCCTGTCCCCAAAGCATATTTGGACTAAAGCCTATTATAAAGCCAATTTTGTCTTTGTTGTGGACTTAAAGCTAAAAGGTATCTAGTACTTAAGAATGTATTCCATGCTCACCTTCCAGACATGATCACTGAAGTCAAAGTGGGTACATAAGCAAATGTGGTGAAGAAAGCTGATGGTGCCCAAATATTAGAAGATACAGACTGGGGTCTTAAAGGCTTCAAATTAAACAAGTGGCCATCAAGCAGGGAAGCAACAAAGCCCACATGGAATAAGCACATCAGCTGTGTGTTCACAAGGTGTCAATGAGAGCAGGTATCAGGCATCAGAACACCCAAAACAATCACATTGATTTAATAGAGGAGGGTGGAATTGGATACCCAAAGCCATTCTGTAGACAATTGGACATCCCCTCACATAAGGGTCACAAGGAAGGGACAAGTCAGCCAGAGTGTACTATAGCACTGAAGGAACATACAACATTCCTCTAGTTCTTTATTGCTCACCGCCCCCTCCACTATCATGACCCCACTTTAACCTTACAAATCCAACTAGACTGAAGCATGTACACTGTTATAGAGAAGAGCCCTTGACACAGAATTAAGGATGGATAACCTCTTAGGAATAATAATTGGAGTAGTAATACTATGAGGGTAGAGGGAAGGTAGAGGGTGGAGGGGGAGAAAAGGGGAACTGATTGCAAGGATAGACGTATAACACACATACCCTACCTGCCCTGAGTGGAATGAACAATAGAACTGTGGGTGAAGTGAGACAGTGGATGGTGTAAGGTATGAAAATAATAATAATTTATAATTTATTAATAGTTCATGAGACTGGGGGCATAAGGGAAAAAAAGAGGAGCTGATATCAAGGGCCCAAGTAGAAAGAACATGTTTTGAAAATGATGATGGCAATATAGATACAAATGTGTTTGGTACAATTGATGTATGCATTGTTATAAGAACCATAGGAATCCCCAATAAAATGATTTATTAAAAAAAAATAAAGAATGTATCGCCATGGGAAGCTCTTGGGTAGTCTAGATTTGTTTCCCATTCCTGCTTACTCAAGTTTTTCAGAAGTTCTTACCTCCCTGTTGCTAGAGCTTAGAAGCCCTGGGGATGCAGCGAGGCACACACTAGGCTGCCAATTGCAGTGTCAATGGCCCAAATGCATCGGCCACTCCAAGGGAGATAGGGAGAGGCCATCTCCTTCTGAAAAGATTCAAAGTCTCAGAAACCAAAAGGGACAGCCCCTCCTTGCACTGTAGGGTTGTCATGAGTTGCAATTAATTGATTTCATGGTGGTGGGCTTAGCCCAAGCTAACTTCTTTTTCTCTTTCTTTTTTTTTTATTGTGAGAGAAGGTTTATAGCAAATCAATTTTCCATTCAACAATTTATACACATTTTGTTTCCTGCCATTGTTTGTAATCCCCACAATGCAACATCCTTCATTCTCATTCCATATCCTCCCTGTTCCCATCCTTCTTAGGAGTCAGAACTGACTCAATGGCAGTGAGTTGGTTTCTTTGGTTTTCTTTCTTCACCTTTCCTGCCTTCTGAACTTTGTCTTTGATTAAATGCTGCCCATTTGATCTCAAATTGTTATTCTACAGAGTATATATCAGGTTGATGCTACTGGTCTCCTTACACGACTATTGTTTAGCTGGAGAACGAAATCACAAGGGTAAACTAACTTCTAGGTCTGAAGGGTTACTCATAGCACAGTCTTGGGGTTCCACCAGTAATTTTTAGTTTCACATTTTTCTCACACTGTTTTCAAGATCTTTTAATGTCATCTCATTCATAGAGATCAATAGTGGTCATTGGGCACAGTCTAGTTCTTCTGCTCTCAAGACTGTGAAGCCTATGGTGTATGTAATAACATAGATATTATTTAAATTAATTATATACATATGCCATTGCAAAAAATATCTAAAAGGGGGAGAGGGGTTAGGCAACGGGATAAAAATACTACACGAGACTTCATAACATGCATATAAATATGAAATTAATATAAATTTTTTCTATGAATTTTATGAAGCCCCCTCGTATACATCTGAATATAAAGTAACATCAACTGTTATGGGTTTGAGTAAATTAAGACTACAACAATGTTCAAACCCAACTATGTGGAGCCTTTTTCATAGCAGGCTAGCCCAGACTGCAGAGGGAACATTAAAAGGTATAGGCTGCCATGCTGTAGGCCCAATGTTTCTTTGGCTGAGCCTTTTATAGTATTCAGGAAGCAAGCAGGGTACAGAAAGCAGAAAAAAGCATGTTAAAAATTCATATATCATTAAGTAAGCGATATTGACAGCAAAAATAAAATAGATTTAAGCAAAGTTCTTAGGCGCCCTGTTTTACGACCCTTCCCTGGATCTTGTCTTTAGTTAAGCTTCCCTGGGAAAGAAAAAATAAACACACCTGCTCTGGGGAGAATGACTTACTGGTCCTCTCTGATAAGGAAAAGTTTAAACAAGGTTTGCTCTAAGGATGGTTACTGGTCGGGCATTCCATTCAAGTGATGATAAAACAAATTAGACAGAACAAAGGTGAGGCTTGTCCAAAAGATGGGGTAGGGGGTGGGCTTGCTGGAGCAGAGGAATTTTTGTGGTGGTTTTAACTTAGTCTTTTGGTTAATTAAAAAATGGGGTGACATGAGCTGTCTCCTTCACAACCATGATCTTAAAATTAAGGCAGCTACTTTATTCTGAACTAGAAATTGGCACAAGCAATTGAAAGTGTGCCCCATAATGAGAGTTGCTTCCCTGTCCACTCTCCTCTCAGGGCACAATTTTGGGAGAAAAAGTATATTTCTTTAGATATGCCACCTATTCAATGTTTTTATTAAAGAGAGAAGAGACATTGATTGATATCTAGATTAAAGTTTAAGAATACTATTCAGAGAATGCACATAAGTAGTTAAGAGCATATTTATGACTAGATGCCCTTCTGAAAGATTAAGTTGATTTGGTATTTTGTATAAAAATTTAGGGAGACTTGTACCTCAGAATTGCTAAATAGCAATTCTGGATTTTCTGGATCTAAGGTTTCATTCAGGTTAAAGTTGAATGAATGGATTCACACAGGGCTACAGAACCATGACTCTTGTTTTAATTAGAGAAAACAAGTATGGTTTGACTAGATTTTCATAGTCCTGTCCATGTCAAAATCAGCTGTGCTGTTCTTTTCATTTAAAAATATTCTTCAACATGGGTGGAGGAAGACAGCAGATGTGGTAGATATGAAAATAATAATAATTCATAATTTATCAGGGGTTCATGAGGGTGGGGGAGGAAGGAAAAAAGAGGAGCCAATACTCAAGCAGAAAGAAACTGTTTTGAAAATGATTGCAATATATGTACAAATGTGTTTGATATAATTGATGTATGGATTGTTATACAAGCTGTAAGAGCCCCCAATAAACTGATTAATAAAAAAAAATTCTGATCAAATAATCTTGCAAAAGAAAGATAACCTAGCCCTAAATCTAAAATAAAGGCAAAGGAAAAATGGGTGCTTTTTTGCTCAATTATCAGCGAGCACCCTTAGGCTATCTATGCCAAGAACTTCATGTATTGTTTTCAAGTGTGAAAATGGTCAGCAGGCTGGTTGTAGGCTGTCCACACTGGCTCTCCAACAAATAGCTGCATTGCTTTTACATAGGTTATCATGTCTCCTTTCTCCATGAAAATCCGAATCCACTTTTCCTCTTTATCTCTTACATCAAAATAACCACTCCCATCCAAGATATAACGAATTTCATCATCCAAATGTAAATGTTCCTCATAAAATATTTTAACCTTTTCTTCATAGTTTGGTAGTTGCACTCTGCATACTGTGATTATGTCCACCCAGGAGTAGTTTCTTTCTTTGTGGATCTTTTCTAATTCTGGGTCATTCTCATAAGTGTCTGCATCCAATTTCCTGCAAAATACACTGAGCTGATGCAGTTGCTCCAGGCAGACCCTGAGACTGGGCTCCAATCGGTGGGGTTTCCTCGGGTAGTCTGGGGACTCGTCCATGTATCACGCTTCCACCGTCTTCCCAGCAGGCTGCAGCACAAGCCCCAGAGACAACTGAGCCACTAACTTCTTTTTCTAAACTGCATTTTTCTATTTTTTAATCCAAATTTCCTCATCATTATATTTAGGTGGCAAGAATTTCCTTTTCTGGCTTCAACTTCTCTCCAGGGTTCTCCTCAAATCAGATCTTAAACTGAAAATGAGAGGTTGGAGATGGAGGCACAGAATAGAGATAGAATTTAGTCAGGAATGTGAAGTTGAGAAATATTTTATTGAGGCAGGGAAAGAACTCCCAGGAGGGAAGGCAAAGCAAAGAAGGACAGGGCCATCTTGAGCCCCTGGTTGGGTTCTTAGACCCAACAAGTTAGGTCATGGAAATTGCATCTGGCAGTGAGGCAGTGGGACATATATAGGGTATGACCCAAGGACGTATGTACTGATAAGGGAAAGGAAGGCCTTCTGGTACTGCAGTTGCAGGGTCTGAGTCTGGATGTGGTCTGTGAGTAAATCATCCTGGAACACTGAGGGAAGGGGCTGTACAGACCCAGCCCTGAGAGAGAAGCTCCTTGGAAAGCTGGAGGCAGGGACTGCACTGTCCACCTCTGGCCTTGAGAGGTGGGGGGAAGGGGCCACACAATCCAGCAGGCTGTCTTTAGGGAAAGCTGGGGGAGGTGGCTGCATGGTCCGGATTGGCCCAAACATCCGAAACTCTTAATAGTGGTAATGAGTGTAGTGTTTTGTCTTAACTACTTCCTGCTGAGATAGGGCGAAGAAGGAGGGTATTAAGAGTTGGGAGGTTCGGGGCCTGGGTCGGTTGGCAGCGGACTGTAAGGGAGAAGCAAGAGTTGGTTGAAGATCAGGTTGGAGATGGCTTTCATTCGGTTCTGCAAAAATTTGAACACAGAGGAGGCCAACATTAACAGTACACAAATTATTGCCAAAGGCAAAACGAGGGGTATAATCCATGACATGACAGAACTTTGACACCCTGAGGAGGGGCTGGTGGTGACCCACTGACATTTTCTGATTTTTTTGGCTATGTTGTGGAGCACTTTAACATTTTATTTAACAACTTTCGACTTATTGATATAGTATACATATCTTTTTGTCAGCTGTCAACAGATTTAATGCATGACGGTTTTGAAGGCTTATCTGTGCCAGGGGTGTAAGTTGTTGCTTCAAGGAGGTGAGATACTTTGAGGTAGAGTTTATGACTAGCTGGAGTTGTTTGTTAAACTTCTGTGTTTATAGTATGCTGTGTCCTAATGGGTGACTGTGCAGACGTGGGCATGCAGATGCATGAATGTAAGTGAGCGAATTTTTACCAATTAGTGTGAGTGGGCACATGGGTGTGTGAGTGTGTGCAGGCATGTGCACAGAATGTAAATGAATGTTGTATGAATAGTGAATATCAGAGTGTGAGAATGTGAGCGTGAGAGTAAAATTGTTATTGTAGTGAATATAGGAGTGTAAGAATGAGCTGGTGTATTAACGGTTATATTATGTTTGTAAACTTTATGTAGAGAAAAGCTATTTTCATCCTGATTTGTGTAGTAACAGACTAGCTGTGGTGATGACTTTGGTTTGGCTTTTATAACTTTTGTATTCTGCCAGCATGCTTTGTACAAGGATTGTTTTGTGAACTTTGAATTGCTACATGTACGTGTCTGAGACTAGGGAGGGATGGGGGTGTAACAATACTGAGTAAGAAGTAGAAGAAATTTTAGTAAAGCATACGGTTGTTGGGCCCACCATCTGAGTGGGAGTAATGGTCATGGTGTGGGTTAGGGGTTAATTTCACCCAAGTCAGATGATGCCAATTGGGGTCTTCGAGAACTTTGATTGAACTGGGAGTTGTCAGGACAATGATGTGTGGTTTTGTTTTGTTTTTTACTTGGGTTGCAGAGGTCGAGGATGGAGACTTTTCAGCAGAACAGTCTTCTGGGTTGATTACAGGTAGGTCAGGTTGTGCAGGATCAGGAGCAGGTAGACATCTGTCTGTGTGTTGTCAGAGAAAAGTTTTTAAGAGAGATATATAGGGTAAGTAGTTTTCCAGTGGTGGTAGTGTGTCCAGTAAGGTATGGTTGATTAAATTAGGCCTGCCATACATCAACTTGAGGGGCTTAGGAAAGAGGGAGAACGAGGAGTGCTGTGAATTCAAGTTAAGGCTAGCAGAAGCAGGTCTATTTATGACTGGTATAGTTTTAAAATTAGTTTAGACAGATGGCCTTTTATAATTTTATTCATCTTTTTAACTTTTCTAGAGGCCTGAGGCGTGTACAGGCTACGTAAGCACCACTTAATGTCTAGTGCAAATGACACCTGTGTGATTTGAGACACAAAGCATAGGTTGTAGGAGCTGAAGAAGAGCCTGGGTCCCTATGTGCAAGGAATGATGGACTTGATGGATCAGATCTTCGGCTTGGTTGGCAGGGAGAGCTATTCACTTATTATTTATGATGGGCAATACTTTAGTTGTTAGGAATCTTTTGTAGCTAAGTGGAGTGCTCGAGTGAGAGCAATGAGTTCTGAGTTCTGCTTTCTGAGAAGTGGTTCCGTCTGGGAGACACGCAGCTTGCCATACCTGATCAAGTGAAGCTACAGTATAGGCAGCTCTTTGCTGTCCCTGGGTGTCTACGACAGAACTTTTACTAACAATCAAAGTTAGATCTGGATCAGGATAGGGCTGACTTAAAAGTTTAGGTCAAGGTAGTGTTAGTTCTTCAATCGCTTGCAGGCAGGAGTGACAGCTAGGTTCTGGTGAGTTCAGGAGCTGAGGCAAGAGAGTTGCTGGGTTTAGAGAGGGAGCCTGGTGCAGGGTTATGTTGGGTTTTCAGTAAACATAGGTGGATTTTTGTAGGCGGTTAGGAGACAGTAAAGACAGGACTTGTGAAAGAAATTTCTGTAATTTGTAGGTAGATAACGTCTGGATAGGCTCTCTTTGTGTTAGTTTGAGTTCTTATTTAGTAAGGGTGGATACTGGCGCCAGGCCACAGAGGCATGGCTGCCAGCCTCTGACTTTCATATCTAACTGTTTGGACAGATAAGTTACTGGAGAGTGGGTGGGTCCCAGGGGCTGAGCCAGGACTGCAGCTGCTATGCCCTGCCTTTTATCTGTGTAGAGAAAGAAAGATTTACTATGGTTTGGTAAATATAAAAGTGGAAACTGGAGAAGAGTTTGTTGGACTTTGTTAAAGGGTTGCTCTGTTTAATTGGGGAGAGTCTAGAGGGCTATCAAGGGTGGCTGGTTTGAATTAGTGAGGTTGTCTGCTTTGTTGCTTCCCTGTGTTCCTGGGGAACTATCAGCTTGATGTCCTTTACATTTTTTCACTGGATGTGAAGATTGTATTAACTAAGTGTCAGCAAAGAGTTAAAGGTTTGCTGGGAATCATTTTGGTTGCAACACATGGAGGTTGCTGCTTGGAGGGAGAGAGACGTTAAGGGAGTTGTCTGCTTTAGAACTGTTTTAGGAGAGGCTGCTGGTAAAGGCAAACCAATGCTGACAAGCTGGGTTAAGGGGGATGGTAAAAAAAAAAAAAAAACATCATTAAAGATGGGGTAACTAAAGGCTTGGAGGGATGACCATCAATTCCCATATCCAAGACCGGGGAAGGGGAAGTTGGGCCTGAGAAAGGGGGGAGGACTGAAAAGACTGTGTCTACCAAAAGGAAACCGGCTTACCTGCTGCCCTGATTGCTACCCTGGGCACAGCTTAGTCGGGGTCACTGAGGTTGTTGAGTGGGGGGCTTCTTCCTGAGTCGTCATTGGTGGTCAGGTCAAGCAGTGTTAATGGCCGTTCAAGGTTTAGAGGAACTGACCCTCCTGGGCTAGGCGCTGAGGGGCAATCACTTCTCCAGTGGCCCTGCTGACTGCACGAAGGGCAAGGCTTAATGGGTGGCTGGGTTTGCGGGCAATGCTTAACCCAGTGCCCTTCCTGGCCGCATTTGAAGCAAGGTCCTGGAGGTGGGTGGTCAGAGTCACTGTTCAAGTCGCTGTTTCCTGAAGTCTTCTGACCCCTCCCTCCAGCAGGCCTCAGGATGGCGATCAAGACTTGGGTTGCCTGCTTGTCCCTTGGTTGGCTCGGGAATCATAAGCTGCCTCAGCCTGTTCTTCTTGGGTATTAAAACTTTAAATGCCATGTTTACCAGGTCACAGATGGGGGACTGAGGTCCATCCTTAGCTTTTTAAGTTTCTTTTTAATATCAGTGGCTGACTGTGTTATAAAATGAGTGGCTATCACAGCAGCCCCCGTTGGAGAGCTAGGGTCTAGCCTAGTATACTGGGTTAAGGCTTCAGTTAGGTGACTGAGGAAAGCTGCTGGGTGCTCACTCAGTTGCTGGGTAATTTCCCGCAGCTTGTCAAAGGTTACTGCTTTATGAGAGATGGTTTGTAAACCTGAGTAAGGTAGCAGGCAACTGTCGGGTTTGGGAGGCTGTGGGTGTCACCTCTGAAAGTGGAGGGAGGTGGTGGTGAGAGGCACCCAGAATATGGGGGAGGCTTTACTGGGGGTGCAGACAAGCAGTCAGGAGGTTCAGAGAACGATGAGGGGGAGTACTGTCAGGGGCCTGATTAAGAGAGTGCTTGGTTAAGAGAACTTGAGCAAGGTGACAGGCAGTACATAGAGAGGGATGAGAGTGAAGAAAGAAAAGAGCCTGAACATCCAGAACCTCAGACCATTTTTGAGTCTGGTGACAAAAATTGTTGAAGTCCCAGAGAATGCTGGAATTGAAAGTCCTGGCCAGTGTGACTCATTGTCCAATTGGGATTGTGGCCACACTTTCCATCCAAGACCTGATGCTTAGGGCGAATGTCCGGAGCCAGGCCCAGTTCAGTGAGATTGGTCAGGAGGTACCCCAAGGGACTGTCCCTGAGAGGCATAGAGAGTGAGCTTTCCATGGTGTCCTAAATTGCAAGGGGTACAGTCAGAGGAGAAGGACATCTCCTGGTCCCTATCTGCACTCATTAGTCAGGAGGTGGTGTGGTAACCCTGAGAGGCATCC